GGCCCCAAAGAGGCCCTTTCTAAGTATTGCCCCTAATTTCGCGACCAACCCCGGCAATATGCACATCATTGGAAAGAGCGTAATTTCCTTAACAAAAAACCCATGTAACATTTTTCGATGGGGCCCACCTGGGGCCCACAGGACCCAATTGAAATTTGGGGCCCAATGGGGCGGCCCCTACGATTTTCTTCAAAATTGGCACAGACACTCTCCTGGGCCCCCTCTTCAATCTGGCTGAAGAAACCTACCGGGGAATCCAAAGGAAGGGGCCCAAAGAGGGCCCCAAAGAGGCCCTTTCTAAGTATTGCCCCTAATTTCGCGACCAACCCCGGCAATATGCACATCATTGGAAAGAGCGTAATTTCCCAAACAAAAAACCCAAGTAACATTTTTCGATGGGGCCCACCTGGGGCCCACAGGACCCAATTGAAATTTGGGGCCCAAAGGGGCGGCCCCTACGATTTTCTTCAAAATTGGCACAGACACTCTCCTGGGCCCCCTCTTCAATCTGGCTGAAGAAACCTACCGGGGAATCCAAAGGAAGGGGCCCAAAGAGGGCCCCAAAGAGGCCCTTTCTAAGTATTGCCCCTAATTTCGCGACCAACCCCGGCAATATGCACATCATTGGAAAGAGCGTAATTTCCCAAACAAAAAACCCAAGTAACATTTTTCGATGGGGCCCACCTGGGGCCCACAGGACCCAATTGAAATTTGGGGCCCAATGGGGCGGCCCCTACGATTTTCTTCAAAATTGGCACAGACACTCTCCTGGGCCCCCTCTTCAATCTGGCTGAAGAAACCTACCGGGGAATCCAAAGGAAGGGGCCCAAAGAGGGCCCCAAAGAGGCCCTTTCTAAGTATTGCCTCTAATTTCGTGACCAACCTCGGCAATATGCACATCATTGGAAAGAGCGTAATTTCCCAAACAAAAAACTCAAGTAACATTTTATCGATGGGGCCCACCTGGGGCCCACAGGACCCAATTGAAATTTGGGGCCCAATGGGGCGGCCCTACGATTTTCTTCAAAATTGGCACAGACACTCTCCTGGGCCCCCTCTTCAATCTGGCTGAAGAAACCTACCGGGGAATCCAAAGGAAGGGGCCCAAAGAGGGCCCCAAATAGGCCCTTTCTAAGTATTGCCCCTAATTTCGCGTTTAACCCCGGCAATATGCACATCATTGGAAAGAGCGTAATTTCCCAAACAAAAAACCCAAGTAACATTTTTCGATGGGGCCCACCTGGGGCCCACAGGACCCAATTGAAATTTGGGGCCCAATGGGGCGGCCCCTACGATTTTCTTCAAAATTGGCACAGACACTCTTCTGGGCCCCCTCTTCAATCTGGCTGAAGAAACCTACCGGGGAATCCAAAGGAAGGGGCCCAAAGAGGGCCCCAAAGAGGCCCTTTCTTAGTATTGCCCCTAATTTCGCGACCAACCCCGGCAATATGCACATCATTGGAAAGAGCGTAATTTCCCAAACAAAAAACCCAAGTAACATTTTTCGATGGGGCCCACCTGGGGCCCACAGGATCCAATTGAAATTTGGGGCCCAATGGGGCGGCCCCTACGATTTTCTTCAAAATTGGCACAGACACTCTCCTGTAACCCCCCCCCTTCAATCTGGCTGAAGAAACCTACCGGGGAATCCAAAGAAAGGGGCCCAAAGAGGGCCCCAAAGAGGCCCTTTCTAAGTATTGCCCCTCTTTGGGGCCCTCTTTGGGCCCCTTCCTTTGGATTCCCCGGTAGGTTTCTTCAGCCAGATTGAAGAGGGGGCCCAGGAGAGTGTCTGTGCCAATTTTGAAGAAAATCGTAGGGGCCGCCCCATTGGGCCCCAAATTTCAATTGGGTCCTGTGGGCCCCAGGTGGGACCCATCGAAAAATGTTACTTGGGTTTTTTGTTTGGGAAATTACGCTCTTTCCAATGATGTGCATATTGCCGGGGTTGGTCGCGAAATTAGGGGCAATACTCAGAAAGGGCCTCTTTGGGGCCCTCTTTGGGCCCCTTCCTTTGGATTCCCCGGTAGGTTTCTTCAGCCAGATTGAAGAGGGGGCCCAGGAGAGTGTCTGTGCCAATTTTGAAGAAAATCGTAGGGGCCGCCCCATTGGGCCCCAAATTTCAATTGGGTCTTGTGGGCCCCAGGTGGGCCCCATCGAAAAATGTTACTTGGGTTTTTTGTTTGGGAAATTACGCTCTTTCCAATGATGTGCATATTGCCGGGGTTGGTCGCGAAATTAGGGGCAATACTTAGAAAGGGCCTCTTTGGGGCCCTCTTTGGGCCCCTTCCTTTGGATTCCCCGGTAGGTTTCTTCAGCCGGATTAAAGAGGGGGCCCAGGAGAGTGTCTGTGCCAATTTTGAAGAAAATCGTAGGGGCCGCCCCGTTGGGCCCCAAATTTCAATTGGGTCCTGTGGGCCCCAGGTGGGCCCCATCGAAAAATGTTACTTGGGTTTTTTGTTTGGGAAATTACGCTCTTTCCAATGATGTGCATATTGCCGGGGTTGGTCGCGAAATTAGGGGCAATACTTAGAAAGGGCCTCTTTGGGGCCCTCTTTGGGCCCCTTCCCTTAGATTCCCCGGTAGGTTTCTTCAGCCAGATTGAAGAGGGGGCCCAGGAGAGTGTCTGTGCCAATTTTGAAGAAAATCGTAGGGGCCGCCCCATTGGGCCCCAAATTTCAATTGGGTCCTGTGGGCCCCAGTTGGGCCCAATCGAAAAATATTACTTGGGTTTTTTGTTTGGGAAATTACGCACTTTCCAATGATGTGCATATTGCCGGGGTTGGTCGCGAAATTAGGGGCAATACTTAGAAAGGGCCTCTTTGGGGCCCTCTTTGGGCCCCTTCCTTTGGATTCCCCGGTAGGTTTCTTCAGCCAGATTGAAGAGGGGGCCCAGGAGAGTGTCTGTGCCAATTTTGAAGAAAATCGTAGGGGCCGCCCCATTGGGCCCCAAATTTCAATTGGGTCCTTTGGGCCCCAGGTGGGCTCCATCGAAAAATGTTACTTGGGTTTTTTGTTTGGGAAATTACGCTCTTTCCAATGATGTGCATATTGCCGGGGTTGGTCGCGAAATTAGGGGCAATACTTAGAAAGGGCCTCTTTGGGGCCCTCTTTGGGCCCCTTCCTTTGGATTCCCCGGTAGGTTTCTTCAGCCAGATTAAAGAGGGGGCCCAGGAGAGTGTCTGTGCCAATTTTGAAGAAAATCGTAGGGGCCGCCCCATTGGGCCCCAAATTTCAATTGGGTCCTGTGGGCCCCAGGTGGGCCCCATCGAAAAATGTTACTTGGGTTTTTTGTTTGGGAAATTACGCTCTTTCCAATGATGTGCATATTGCCGGGGTTGGTCGCGAAATTAGGGGCAATACTTAGAAAGGGCCTCTTTGGGGCCCTCTTTGGGCCCCTTCCTTTGGATTCCCCGGTAGGTTTCTTCAGCCAGATTAAAGAGGGGGCCCAGGAGAGTGTCTGTGCCAATTTTGAAGAAAATCATAGGGGCCGCCCCATTGGGCCCCAAATTTCAATTGGGTCCTGTGGGCCCCAGGTGGGCTCCATCGAAAAATGTTACTTGGGTTTTTTGTTTGGGAAATTACGCTCTTTCCAATGATGTGCATATTGCCGGGGTTGGTCGCGAAATTAGGGGCAATACTTAGAAAGGGCCTCTTTGGGGCCCTCTTTGGGCCCCTTCCTTTGGATTCCCCGGTAGGTTTCTTCAGCCAGATTGAAGAGGGGGCCCAGGAGAGTGTCTGTGCCAATTTTGAAGAAAATCGTAGGGGCCGCCCCATTGGGCCCCAAATTTCAATTGGGTCCTGTGGGCCCCAGGTGGGCCCCATCGAAAAATGTTACTTGGGTTTTTTGTTTGGGAAATTACGCTTTTTCCAATGATGTGCATATTGCCGGGGTTGGTCGCGAAATTAGGGGCAATACTTAGAAAGGGCCTCTTTGGGGCCCTCTTTGGGCCCCTTCCTTTGGATTCTCCGGTAGGTTTCTTCAGCCGGATTAAAGAGGGGGCCCAGGAGAGTGTCTGTGCCAATTTTGAAGAAAATCGTAGGGGCCTCCTCATTGGGCCCCAAATTTCAATTGGGTCCTGTGGGCCCCAGGTGGGCCCCATCGAAAAATGTTACTTGGGTTTTTTGTTTGGGAAATTATGCTCTTTCCAATGATGTGCATATTGCCGGGGTTGGTCGCGAAATTAGGGGCAATACTTAGAAAGGGCCTCTTTGGGGCCCTCTTTGGGCCCCTTCCTCTATTCCCCGGTAGGTTTCTTCAGCCAGATTAAAGAGGGGGCCCAGGAGAGTGTCTGTGCCAATTTTGAAGAAAATCGTAGGGGCCGCCCCATTGGGCCCCAAATTTCAATTGGGTCCTGTGGGCCCCAGGTGGGCCCCATCGAAAACTGTTACTTGTTTTTTTTTTGTTTGGGAAATTACGCTCTTTCCAATGATGTGCATATTGCTGGATTTTGTCGATGTTATAGGCCTGAAATTGTTGAAAACGTTTATTTATGCCCCGAGGGCATACTCCCGGGCCCATATATTTGAAGCTGTTTTGTTCGGTTCAGGGGGGCGCTAGCCCCCTAAATTTGGTACCGTTGTACGTAAAATTTTGTCCTCTTTCGAATGACGTGCATTTTTAGCTGTTTTGACGGCTAGAAGTAGGGTTTTCAAAGTTCGTCGATTGTGCCCTGAGGGCATACTGTTTTTTGGGATTTGTGGCCCCCCTGATGGATTCCTCGCATTTTGGCACTAGGATTTTCGATAGAGGACACCATTCTGCACCTCTCCACCAAAATTCAGCGAAATCGTAGGGGCCGTCGATCCCTGCTGAATCCCTGCTGAACCCCTGCTGAATCCCTGCTAACTTCCGTTACATTTCCGAATGAAATTTAATTATTTCAATTCCAATAGGTTATTTACTTTCATCGCCTTGCCATTCATTCATTATTCATTCATTTATTCAAAAATTACTTTTTTGGCGCAGTCCTGTTCAAAAGCAGCTCTTTTCCGAAATATAGGAGACAAATCACATTTCACCGTAGCAACCTGCTAATAAAATAGCAAGTTGCCATGCAACAGAGGGAGGTCCGCAGCTGTTGCCTTGAAGCCAATATTTTCTGAACAGGGCTCAAGCCCCTTAATTATTTTTACGACGACGCCGTTGTTTGTCTCATTTCCGACTTTGACCTGCCGGTTGACGAGTGGAAATTCAGCGGGGCTGCTTGAAAGGTAGGTAGGTTAGTGAGGCTTCGGATTTCTATTTGAGTTTTTCCTTCAAATGGTGAACAAATCATCTAAGCTAATCTTATGTCTGTCCTTATGCACGGAGCTCGATGAGACCAGGACGGCCAATTGGCCGTCTAAATTCCTGTACCTGGCAAGGTAAGGCAAATAATGCCTTTGATTGATCTATTTTAATTTCAAGAGTATGCTCATTGCTCATTGAACTTGATTGAGAATTGATTTAATTGATTGAAAATTCCCATCATCCGATGACCAATGGGAGTGTTCGGCATAAATATTCCCCCAGATTGCACAAAGTATGGCAGCAGAGTTGATGACCTGTACCAGCCTTCAACTTCTTCTTTAGTCAGCTAGAGTCAGCTCAAGCTCCATCCAGTGGATGTTATGTCTTTTGACAGTCTTTTGTCACTTGATGGCTAAATATTTTGACTCAGTGCGAGGGAAGGGAAGGGATGCAACCAGGGGAATAATTTGTGCTGATGATTGTCTGGTTGGTCAGAGCAGCATCTTGGTCGGGAGAGGCTAACTTGGTTGAATGGGCATGGAAGGTTGTTTGTTAGCAACAAGATAAGCATCCATAATTGTAATCTATAAGTCCACGCCCCACGGTGCAAGCAGCCAGTAATAACATCTTAATACCCGCATTCAAATGCTTGAAATATTATCTCCAGCACATAGGATTTGTTGTGATTTCAAGAGCTTCAAAAGTAGTTGTATAGATCTTTATTTCTATATTACTTAATACTTATACTTATGCATCATTTCACTGGTGCCTTATTGCACCCTTTTCCTAATTTGAAATTTGAATTGGTAGGTACCAGTCATCATTCTCTCAGTTTTGCACACCACTGTTTTCTACTGAATATTCAAGTTTATCTGTTTTCTAATAAAAGTGTATGTGCACATGTAACTTGTTTTCATATAAGCTGCAGTTGTTTCAAATAAATAAACCTACTGTTGTTAGGTATGGTAATGAAATACAAATATTTAATGGAGTGATAATAATGTTTAAAAAATGTCAATATTTATTAGAACTCAATTTATCAAACCTACTGCTTACCTCAAACACTCTTGGTTGGCAGACACATTTATGTGAACAATGTAGATGCAGTAGTTATGATGTTTATTGTTTTATGTAACATGGCTTGTAAAGTTGTGGGTGTTGTGCAGAAAGTCGTCGTGCAATAACATGATTCCCGTACGGGACTGCCGTACTACGGGATGTACGGGACTTCTGTAGCTCAGTCGGTAGAGTTTTGGACTCCGCGTGGTGAGAGCACGAGCTCCCGGCTATCAGTCCGGGTTCGAAGCGCGACGACGCTTGACGTTTATGAGCCTCCTGACAGGTATGGTTGCGGTTGGTGGCAGGCAGTAGTCAGGCGAATTCAGTGAGGGGACCAACCGTGCCCGGCTATGTGCGCTCGTTAAACTTTGGACTCCAAATTCTGCCATAGATCCGGAATTGCGCGATCAGAGGGAAGAGGGCAGGGTCAACGCAACAAGCTTGGCTTAGCGGGGGCTCTGTCCTTGTGAATCCTTCCATTTGAAAGGTTCGGACTAAATTTATTTTAATAGTCACGCTGTCCGGCATGTGTCATCAGTCTGTGCCCGTGTGGGTCTCGTGTATCAGTAAAGATTGTCTGTCGGAAAAAGGTGATGTCATATTGAGGAGCGGCATCGGCATGCACCTGTCACCCGACGCGCGCGCGCTCCGCACCGCATGCTCCGAGAGGGCCGCCGGCCAGTCACTCCTCGGTTGTTCCAGACAGCTGTCCAGTCACTGCCCCATACCCCCGGACTGCGAGATGGCGGCGGCGCGCGTGGCGATGGCGGCGGTGCTGATGGCGGCCCTGGTGCCGGCCTGCCTGGCCATCCACTACACCGACTGCGGCTCCAAGGGCGCCACCATCAGCGACGTCAGCATCACCCCGTGCGGCAACGGGCCCAAGTGCGTGCTGGTGCGCGGCCAGACGGCCACGCTGAACATCACCTTCACGGCCGGCGAGGAGAGCAAGTCGGCCACCGCCTCAGTGCACGGCAAAGTCTCCGGCGTGCCCATCTTTGTGCCGTTCGAGCTGCCCGACGACAACGCCTGCACGGCTGGCGGCATGACGTGCCCGGTGGCTAAGGGCTCGGCGCAGCACTACTCGCAGGCCATCGCCATCAAGAGGATCTTCCCGGCCGTCTCGGCGCTGGTCAAGTGGGAGATCCTGGACGCGGAGAAGAAGGACATGATCTGCCTGCTGATCCCCGTTCAGCTCCACTGAGCGGTTCCAGTCGGCCGCGGGGGTGAGGCAGGGGCATCGGAAGACAAACGTCAGTGGTGACGTGAAAGGGGTGACATCAACCAAGAACAAACAGTCTAATTAATGACTTAATTATTCGAAAATTGACTTTCTGGATATCCAGTGCAAAATAATCCGTGCACTTCCATGTCTCGTATCCAACAGAACTCCAACAATGACATTTTTACGAAGCTGGATGTCTCTCCGCCCCTGGGCCAGAGTCCACTGTTTTGTGGTGTCCGTCGCAGGCCGGATGTTTGCCACCCAGCCGCCGGCGAGGGCACGGAGCGTGTCGACCGACCGCTATCAGCCCCCCCCCCCCCCGCTCCCATATCTCGAGTGGTGTGCCTTGTTCCGCGGACTGTGCAGAGGCTAATTTAGAGTGCTGTGCCCTACCATAGTGTAATAAATAACGCCCTACCCTGTATAGCGGATGTCATGGTGTTCGAGGGCTGCCTACCAAGTACCAAAGTACACTGTAACAAATGGCGAATAATGTACAAGGCTGAATCATTTGTCGCCTGTTCGTAAAGGTTCTGATGCTTTTGCTTGGCGAATGTTTAGGCATGTTTAGCATGATTTGCACTTTTCCTTCGTGTGTTCAGTGGCGGATCCAGGCTCAGAACTGCAGAGTATAAGTGGTTATTTCAATTGATAGGTACACTGGAGCATATCTTAGTGTGACCTGGCTTCAAATTAACGAACTAATATTTGGCCAGCTCCCGAAAATGCGTGCTTAGAATCGATGTCGGGTTCATCTATGGTGTAATTTCTTTCAATTGGGCTGGATTTACCACGATCTTGATTCGTACCTTCGCGTGCTGCGCTTACTGGTCATGCTTATGTGTTTTCCGCGGAGTTTCGTTTCACAAAAACCACATACTTTGCTCTGTGTGTCCTGTAGCCTGAATTTCAAGCGTCTTGCCAGCCGCATTGCATCGGCCTGCTTTGTTTATTCCGTTTTTTTTTTTAGACTTGTGGGGTTAGTAGTTAGACGTAGTAGCTGACGTACGTAGACGTACTTAGCTGAGCTCAAGACCCTAGCTGCGCTGTTGTGTAGCGCAAGAGGCACCTGTAACCGCGTGTATTTAGCTGTGTGCATCATATCAAACTCAAGTATCAAATAAACGTATTCTTTCAACATTTTTTTTTCGTGAATTAATGCAACTAATGACCAAGAAGGCGATTGGCCGCTTGAAATACGTGAAGTTTCACCTGTTTTTTTTTCTCGTGTTTTGCTAGTTATTGTCTGCTTTGTATACCAATCAATACCTGCGAACGAGACGTAGTGTGAAACCCACCCAACCGTGAAATGTCCTGACATGTTTTTGGTGAAAAGTGACTATAGGTTCGGTAGTCCGCTCTTCGCGGGTAACTTACAGCTACGTGCTATCGACGGCATAGTTTGTTAGACTGCATCCATCCATCCATCCATCCATCCATTGTTGCATCCATAAACGCATATGATGTTCTTATTTGGATACATATAGAACTTTTTCAAACGTCCGTTTATAGCTAGGTAGAATTTGTACAATCTGGGATCATGAAGACTGCTTTCCCGAACACGGGTATTTTAGTTGAATTAGGTAAACAGTAGTCATTCAATAACCATTCATTCATAGGTATGCAACCGTAAGCCAAACGATTCGTCAACTTTTGATGGAAGGTATGGTATCGTTGTGTTTCAGAGCGATGCTTCCAAGGCTGGTATTGCATTTATCTTCCGCGAGTTGGATAACGAGATCGGCGGGCATTAGACGGCCTGCTCTGTTGGTACGTGATCCGATTCCGAACTACTTTGTAGACATCTTTCGGGCGTATGTGCTGTGCACGACACATGGGGTATAAGTTATAACCGCCACCTAGTAGTAGATATCTGGAGCCCGCTGTACTAACAAAGTGGCCTGGGAACAGCTATGACTGCGTTTTTGTCAACGCTCGGGTATGCTCTTGTTAGTTGTTTATGCGGTCTGGTTTCGTGGATGTGGTTATATGCCCCGTGAAATTACACCACGTCAGTTGTGGCGGCAGCTGAGGCGTGAGCAAGTGACAATAATAGCAAACAGAAAGAGTTGCGATCGTCGTGAAATGGAAGCGATCTGATGCGAAGTATTGTAAGAGAAGCATCTTGATCGTGAACACTGAGTGACCTTGTATGCTCCGAGTTAGGCACACGTGTAATCGGTATGCAAACGTTTGACGTCCTGCGCACGGATGGGTATCTTACCATTGAGCAAGTGTGCACCTTTCTCGTACGTATGACACAGTTGTCTGCCCCCCCCCCCCTCCCCGTGCTCTCCTCTCCTCGCCCAGTCGCCGGCTGCCACCGACCGGTGACCCCCTGTGCCCATCCCCCTCAGGCCGCCGACCGCTGCCTGCCGTCGGCACCGCTCCTCCCGCCGCGGCGAGCCATGAGTGATGAGGTCGAGAAGGCACGCGCCGCCAAACCGGCGCCGGGCCCCACTATCTTCGACAAGATCATCGACAAGTCGATCCCGGCCGACATCATCTACGAGGACGACCAGTGTCTAGCGTTCCGCGACATCAGTCCGCAGGCGCCCACCCACTTCCTGGTCATCCCCAAGAAGCGGCTCAGCTCCCTCTCGGACGCAGAGGATGCTGACCAGCAGGTGGGACTGGGGACGGAGAGGGGGTGTGGGGAGTAAAAGGGCCCTGAGATGGCAGGGGGAGCTGTGAGGTGGTGGGGGGAGGAAAAGAGCTCTGAGATGACAGAGGAGGTGTGGGGGAGTGAAAAGGGAAAAATTAAAGCGCTAAGACCATGGTCTTCCGTTCGTGATTACGAGCCTGAACTCCGGACGGCGAGTCGGTTAAGATCCTGAAAGCGGCCCGCTCCGCATATGTGGTGCATATTTTCGTCGCTGTGTTCGTTGGTTCAGCGTATTAAACGTCACCGCCCGGCTCTTTGGTTCGTTGGGTGCGCCGTGCATCCTGCACAGCGGACGTGCCCGGCCGTGCTCTGCAGTTGTGACTGAGCACAGAATGGGGAGGGGGCACACAGTACACTAGTACAGTGTACACTGATACGGAGGATGTTTGCTAGCCTTTACCCTGCATAATGGAATCCGGGACATAGTGGTTGTTATTTGGCACGATACAGTGGTATAAGAATAAGTGGTATAACAATCATGGGATGAGACTGGTTGATTGATACTGCTATGTTATTCCTTTATTAGCATGGCAGATGATCAGGGTTTGAACTTGGAGTCAGGTTGGGTGGTATTTGCTGCCCCTCAGATATTTCGTGGATATTTGTCACAGCCGAGCAGCTGGCGCCGGGCGGGACGAGGATGGGATATGTCTGATACCCTCCAGCGGAGCGGTGCTCCACACAGGGATCAGACCCACTCCAGGCTGGCGCCGGCTGTCTGTGGTGTGTTTCAGTGTGTGTTTGTGTGAATGTGTGTGTGTGGGTGGGGGGGGGGGGGGGGTGGGGGGGCAGTGATAACTATACAGCCACCAACCCTTCCCTGGTGGATGTTTGTCATAAAGCAGCTCGGCGTCACCCGCCATGCGCAGGACGGAGCTGTACCAGACACCGCCGCATACATACCGACTGTTACTACGCCCGAGCGGCATACGACTCACCAGTTATTGTTAGCTCCTCTACCCGTTTTTCTATATGTTTTGTGTCGTATATTTATGGAATGTGTAGGGTTGATTCGGCTTCTGATGCGATATGACCTCCACAGCTTCTCGGTCACCTGATGCTTGTCGCCAAGAAGACAGCAGCGCAGGAGAAACTCGACAATGGCTATCGGCTCGGTGAGTGTCCGGTGCACTGTGAACTTCACATCGCGGAACTCAAATCGACTACTGAGGCAGCGAGGCTATAGTTATCACCTACATTACCGAATTCCATAACGCAGCCAGCGCGTCTGTCCAAAATCCAATGAATGGCGTTACTCATTCACTCACTCGTCCCCATCACGTTTTTTTCTTTGAGGGGGGGGGGGCAGCGACGAGCTCCTTGGATTCTTTGTGCTAGTAACCTGCCCGAATCACTTCACCGAATCTCTTTTGAGCTTCGTCCAGCGCATTGCAACGAAATCTTCCTCCACCTTGGATGGTACGTGTCAATGCTCAAGTGTGCCCAATCCGACAGTGTCCCGTTTTCAAATGTAACCCGCTACCCCGCCTCCCGCTGTGCCCGTCCGACTGACCGTGCGCGCTCCCTGTGTGTTCCAGTGATCAACAACGGCCCGGACGGAGCTCAGTCGGTGTTCCACCTGCACCTGCACGTTATGGGAGGCCGCCAGATGGGCTGGCCGCCCGGCTAACGTCCCCCTCCTGTGATATCGACCCCCGCCGCCGGCACTCTCCGCTCAGCTGTACTGCTCTCATTCTTTATTGGAAACGGTCAATAAAGACGAATAAAATACCAACTGTCTCGGCTCTTGGTTCGTTTCTTCTTTGTCCCGCTGGCGGTCACAGCCACGCTCAAGGCACAGGCCGGCGGACGCAGCGCCGGCACAATCATGATTACACGCTCACTCGACACATTCGCGCCGCGAAAAGGATCAGAAAACTAGACAAGCTGTGGCACAGCCGCCGCCGGGGCGGCGCTGCACACTACACGTACTATATAATATATAGATATATGTACACACGTACGGGCGGCGCCCGACAGACCCGGGGACGAGAGTTCACAACCGGTCGCGTTCGCGCGCGTGCGTCTGGTCCTGGTAAACGGCATGCTGAAAGACAATACCCTGACTGGGAGTGCGTCCCTCCCAGTGCCGCGAGACCGGCCGAGAGCCGCGCGCGTCCACAGTAAAAAGGGCCGGCCGGCCGACCGGCAGAAAAGTGGTCCCCTCATAACAGCGGTAAAATCGGCACCGGGCCGAGGTTAAAATCCGCCCGCCGCCCGGCGAGTACAAAAAGGCTGCCGGTTAGTGGGACGGGCGGAGGGGCGGGCGGCGCTGCCGCGGACCGCCAGAGGAGCGTCCCGGCGGACAGCGAGCGGAGACGGACACTGCACCACTCACAGACGCGCGCACAGCGCGGCAGGCGCACACTGAAACACGAGACAGAACCGGGAAGGATCCTCAGCCACACACTCGCACACACCTTGTCCCGCCCTCTCATCAGCAGTCTGTTGACGGAGCGCTCCGCCGACCCCACCGCACCGGCGAGCTAGGCCCGGCGGTGTGGCTGACGCACCCGATCCAGTCAGAAGGTGGTGCTCCGACTGCGGGGAGTGCCGCGGCCGATCGCGCGCCGGCCGCCGCCGCCCCGCTCCGGCGAGCAGTGCGTGCTGCTCAGGTCGGCCAGCTGCGAGCGCAGCAGCTGGTTCTCGAGCCGCTCGGCGTTGAGCTGTCTGCGCAGCTGGGCGCGGCTGCGGCAGCTGGCCGGCTGCAGGCACGGGTGGACCAGCAGCTCGGCGGCCGTCGGACGCCGCGCCCGGTCAGGGTCGATCAGCAGCTGAAACAGAGACGGCGGAGCGGTCAGAGGGACGGCAACAGCCAGCACAGGTCAAACACGAACACGGACATTTGGCAACATGCAAGCTATGACTTAGCTGGCACGTCAGAAGGAAACATCATATCGCGAACGATCAGCGTGTGCTAGTACCTACACTGGAGATATCTAACAATTGAGAGTAGGCCGTCTCCGGTAGCGTCACATTGGGCCATAGTACATGAACTATTTCAGCGAATGAAGCAAGAAGGCATCACAATCAACAAATGCCCAAAGTACCATCCCATTAGAGTAGACACCGTATCAGCTTTGCCGACTACTTAACATCGAACCACTTCCAAACACACCCTCCCTTCCATCCAGCCGTGACACCAACTTACCTGAATGAGTCGCCGCAGGTCCTCGGAGAAGCCGGGCAGCGGCGGCACGATGCCGTCACGCAGCGCCTGCCACGGCTCGCCGTTTTTGGGCAGCGGCTGGCCGCAGGCGCACTCGAGCGCCGTCAGGCCCAGCGCGAACATGTCCGCCTTGGCCAGACACTCGTAGTCCTCGACCAGGATCTCTCGGGGCATGTAGCGGCAGTCGCCCTCCTCCACCTGACGCTCCTCTTGGGAGGTCACGTGGCCAAAGTCGCCTGCCGGTAACGGTCACCCGTCAGCGAGGAACGGTCGCAGGCGACTAGGGATGACGAAAAGTCTCTAT